GTGCCCTGCTCGGTCCTTGGAGGGACAGGTACTGATAGGGGCTGTACTTCATCACCACATGTGTCTGAAGAGCAACAAAATATTGACCATTTTGTTGTACTGGAAGTCTTCAGACTGCTTTTATAAGCTGTAGGAATTGTGGTGGTCTTTGCAGGATCAGACAGTAAATGAAGCTTTCACTGTCTTTTGTGCTATCATGAACACAGAATTAGTATAGCCACTATGGCAGGGAGGATTACAAGCACAGACTCTCTACACACCCACCTAATTTCTCAGGCAGGTTTTGTAATCAGAATCAAACTCCTTGTTAGCACCTGAGTGAGCTTCGCGTAGGGCTGAGAACAGAAGTCTTATATCCAAAGTCCTGTGCCTTAACCATAAGATCTTCCTTCCCTAAAATAAAAATGGTATGTTCCTGCATCACTCAGAGTTTTTTGAGAGGAAGGGCTCAGCCGTGTGATAGATAAGTGGTAGACAAGAAGTCAGCAGAAACACTAACACTTTGGCAGCTCCAGTTTTTCTTACGCTCCTGTTGTGCTTCCAGGCGACAGCCGTGACCTCTAGCTAGTCCAGACCTATGTATGTTTGGCCAAACGCCTGACAGACCTACCTGACACCTGATGCCATCCTCTACCTACCCACTATGTCCAAACAGCCAGAACCAGTCCAGCATTGCCATAGCTTGTGCTTTTTCTGCCTGGTTGTTGCTGATTTTCCACTATTACACCTGAGCGAAGAAGTATTCACGCCCTGTTTCCAGCAGTTGCAGTTGAGCTTTCACTAGAATAACTCCCCTCATCCTACCATCGTGTTTACTCAGCAGAAGATGACCCATTCATGCATTCTGATGCTCGAACACCTCTTCACTTTCCACTCTCCTTGCATTTGAATAAAAGGTCCAAAGACCGTCGGGTTCACTGCAGTGACAGCTGCAGCCAAGAACAGGGTTGTATTCACCGAGCCGGTACCCAAATTAGAGGATTACAACCCGAGACCCGTAAGCGCTCACGGGTCTTATTGTGCCTGTTGGCCTTTGGGGTCACTTCTGAGTTTTTAGCGCTTTTCCTGCCCGCGGAGGAGGCGGGGGGCCGCCTGGCTGCGGGGCTGGGAGGGAGGCGGTCGCTAGGTGTCAGCACGGGACCGCCACAGCGGCCACCGGCGCCTGGCAGGGTCTGCCCGACCCACTCCTCCTGACACACACCCCAAAACCTGAGCACATTGGTCTCTTAAACCTCCTTCCTTCTGATCTTTCCCAGAGATTTTGTTTTGTTCTAGTTTTAATACCCAAATCTGGCTGATGGGGATGGCTCATGGTTCCCCCCTCCTCTTTCCTGATGGAAAAAAATCCGTGTGTGAACTGGTCCCTCAGTCGAAAATGCTGTCATCCGGCAAAACAGCTAAAATGTTTAAATGAATGTGGCAGTCTTTGCAACTAATTTTCTTATACATTTCTATAATAGGTCTACCCCAAACACTGAGGTCTTTTATCTACATGTAATAGGTAAGATGTAGCTCTGTGTAAAGGTTTGTGCTACCCGATCCCAGCCCTCCAGACATTCAGCCAGTAGGCACGGATGTTGTAAGACACGTTGTTTGATTCAGGTGCACGGCTTCAAAACTAAAACGGAAACTGAAGAAAATATGTAATGATTTCGATCCTTTTCTCCCTCTCTTGACGTCAAAACTGAAATAAATTGTATTCAAGTTCTTCCTGTAGTAACAGGTGCTACAATCTCCGAATTCACTTTTTTTTTCCAGCAGGATGAGAGCATCTCCAGGCTGCAGCTGAACCTGGGAGCTGTAGTCCTGAAACAGCCCCGGCAGTAAAGGACGGTCAGTGCAGCCCTGGCAGCCTGCGCTGCCCGTGGTGCAGTCCCTGGACGCAGTTGAGCAGCAAGTGTTTCTCTTTGTAGGCAGTTTTCCCTTGTCAAGCTAACGGAAACCCTCTGGGGAATGGCGTACTCAAATCATAGATTCTGCCTCTTAATTATAAAATGTTTGTGACTTGAAAGAGTCTTAATAAAGGTATGGGTCCTGCCTTGAGGAACTTAGTTACAATAACTTTTATAATTGCCATGATAATAGTCTGCTATTAATTAATAAATATTCACACCAAGTTTTGAATATGTAAAGCAGTAGAAGAAAAAAATCCCACTTTAAAGCTGGCAAATACTCTACAGCATCTGATAAATTTACTTCCTACTGCATATGTCCATTTTTCCCCAAAGCACTTGGAAGATATTTTATTTTCTGCCATCTTCTTCCATATGAGTCACTTCCTTCTGCTATTTCTTTTTTTTTTTCTGTCTTCCTTTTCTGTTGTTCTAGTCCAACATGTCAAAGACCCAAATCAGATGTTCCTGTTTCTCAGTTTTCAGTGAGAAACCAGGTTGAATATTTTCAAAGGTGCATATTCACAGCTGAAATGTGAGGGAGCAGTCCAAAACAAGTTCTTCTGTGTGAATTTTTTGGTAGCACATTAAACCTGATTTGATTTCAGATTTATGCAGGCTCCAAATGATTTATATCAGCTGTGAGTTTTAGAATTAGATGTAAAGCAGCAAATCTTCTATCTTCTCTCATAGCTGATATACCTCCCAAGCTGCCCTTCAGTGTTGAAATAACCCTTGAAGAACTCACTTATTAAATCACTAGAGACCTTGTGTGAAAAAAAATGTTTACTTCTAATTTTCAGCCCACTGCTTCTCCTGGCATTAGCTTTGTTAGATGCATATGACATAGTTAGAAAGCCAGCAATAGTTGTAACGTGTCTTTACAACCAGAATTCCTGGAACGCGGTAACATTGCTAGTTGTTCTCATTGCAAGATCTCAACACATTACAAAAAAGATAAATCATTTCTAGCAGGGGACAATCCTGCTTTTAACAGTCCCTGCACATCTTTCTCATGGGAATGATTTACGCCAGTGATAATATTCTGGTACATCCCTCCATTTGTCTATTGTCACTTGGAGTGTGGGACTGATTCCAGAGATGAGCAGAAGTTACATTGTGCTCACCTGTGTTTGAAAGTCGCCATGAATATACATAGGGATCTGTCCCAGGAATAGTTAAGTGGTCAATTTCTCATAAAATAATTAACTAAAACCAGTAATCGGTCTTCATGGTCTGATAAGCCTGATGAGGGTAGCAAAAAAGAAACAATATTGTAACACGTTCAGACACTGGAGGTGAGATAAGAAACCAGTGGGAAGTATGATGGCCAAGCTTTGCTCACACTCTGACAGCCAGGCTTGAACAGCAGATAGTTTTATGTGCTCCACTACTTGGAAACACCGAAACACAACCTTCCAGACTTACATTCGCGGAGCAGGGGAAGAGCCTCATTCCAGGCAGCAGCTCTGCAACCACGGGTGAGGGTGCGTGTCACTGCAGATCTCTTGGCTCTGACGTGGAGAAGGAAGAGAGACAAGCTCGTCACTTCACATTAGCACACTGCATAAAGGGAGGTGATAGGAAGAGGACAAGCTAACTACACTTTGTAGAAGGCCTGATAAAAACAAAACACATTCTGGAAAAAGCCTCGTGTCACCTTAACACCCAAGCTATTTACTGCAGCAAATACCCTACCAGGTACATCTGCATCAACTGGTTGCATCTGCCTACAGGCAATATCCACCTGCTTACATCTGTATGTCACTACACAGGATTCATCCCATACTTTCTGAGCAGACACTGGAGGGTCCTGCACCAGGCACGTGTCACGCCTGGAGAAAGCCTGGTATGCCCTTATACTGTCTTCGTGCCAATACTCAGTATTGTGAAGCACTCTCAGAAGCCTAGAAGAGATTGGGACCTCTTTCTGTTGCAGTTAAAGATTAGGCTCTCTCTGTTGTCTTAATGCAGGAATATGGGATAAAGCATCCTGATTATCCTTCTCTATGTAGCTCTCACCTTTGCCAGTGTCTGCTGTGGATTCTCCTTGAGATCTCTCCGTGGGTGAGACACTACCAGTGACAGCGATGATTCCCCACAGCGATGAATCCTCACGTACTGCAGGCCATTATGTGGAGTGGTTTGTTTCCGAGCTGAGCACATGATTACTGGTACCCACAACTGGGAAGGACAGAGAGTCCCTTCAGAGCTGGACAGAGTCTCCAAGGATCAAATTTCTTTTTCTGGCACATGGAAGGGAGAAGCCAAGTGAGTCTCTGAAGGGAATGGAAAGACGAGGCCTTTGCCTTGGGAATCTCTGCACAGCAGGTGCCTCCTCTGTCATCCTCACCTAAATCGAAGGGACCTGATCAGCCAGCCATGCCCACAGCTTTCAGGACCCTGCATGCCTTTGCCTCCCATGTACCATGAGTGGATCATGGTCCCATGTCTGGGGCAGGGGGCAGGGAGTGTTCTCCAGTTTTCCCTGGGAATGACACTAGAGAAGTCTTCAGAAAATATTTTGGTTCCCTAATCGATTCTTTATTTGCTCAGGGGCCAAGTGAGAGGCAGTCTGAAGCATCAGCTCAGCCACCGGCTTTGCTCATTTATTTTAGGAGGGGGAAATGAGCAAATAGTTCAGCACTATCACCTCCTAAGAGCAGAACCAGCTCTCACGTCTCCAAATTGTTCACCCAGCGCAAGCCAGAGACCGGACTACAAAGTGACGATGCTTTCCCTGCCTCTCCATCATCGGGGGGCAGCTTCAGCTAAGCAGAGGTGACACCCTTAGGGCCGCGCTGCTCGTGTCGGCGGTTTCTCCTCCGCTGCCTCATCCCAACCGCCCGATACCAGTTCTGGCTGGGCCACAGCCATCCGTTTCCATTCCGTTTCCATCCCCGCTCACTTTTCGCAGCCGTTTTGTCCCGCCACTCCTCAGCCAACGTCTCCTTTCACCCTCAGGTGCCCTCTGAGGGCTGTCGGGCTGTCTGTTGCCCCGGGCGGCCCGCGGGACCCCTCCACCGGGCTCCTCTTGTCCCCCCGAAAAAGAAGGC